GTGTGTAGGTACGCGTGTGTGCGTGTGTGTGTACATACTAGTGGCGGCGGTGCTGCGGCTCGCAGTGCGGCGCGGTGCTGGGCGCGGTCCCGCTCGTCGTCCTCTCGGCTGGGCTGCGGCTCACTGCATGTGTGTGTGTGTGTGTAGGTACGCGTGTGTGCGTGTGTGTGTACATACTAGTGGCGGCGGTGCTGCGGCTCGCAGTGCGGCGCGGTGCTGGGCGCGGTCCCGCTCGTCGTCCTCTCGGCTGGGCTGCGGCTCACTGCATGTGTGTGTGTGTGTGTAGGTACGCGTGTGTGCGTGTGTGTGTACATACTAGTAGCGGCGGTGCTGCGGCTCGCAGTGCGGCGCGGTGCTGGGCGCGGTCCCGCTCGTCGTCCTCTCGGCTGGGCTGCGGCTCACTGCATGTGTGTGTGTGTGTAGGTACGCGTGTGTGCGTGTGTGTGTACATACTAGTGGCGGCGGTGCTGCGGCTCGCAGTGCGGCGCGGTGCTGGGCGCGGTCCCGCTCGTCGTCCTCTCGGCTGGGCTGCGGCTCACTGCATGTGTGTGTGTGTGTGTAGGTACGCGTGTGTGCGTGTGTGTGTACATACTAGTGGCGGCGGTGCTGCGGCTCGCAGTGCGGCGCGGTGCTGGGCGCGGTCCCGCTCGTCGTCCTCTCGGCTGGGCTGCGGCTCACTGCATGTGTGTGTGTGTAGGTACGCGTGTGTGCGTGTGTGTGTACATACTAGTGGCGGCGGTGCTGCGGCTCGCAGTGCGGCGCGGTGCTGGGCGCGGTCCCGCTCGTCGTCCTCTCGGCTGGGCTGCGGCTCACTGCATGTGTGTGTGTGTGTGTAGGTACGCGTGTGTGCGTGTGTGTGTACATACTAGTGGCGGCGGTGCTGCGGCTCGCAGTGCGGCGCGGTGCTGGGCGCGGTCCCGCTCGTCGTCCTCTCGGCTGGGCTGCGGCTCACTGCATGTGTGTGTGTGTGTGTAGGTACGCGTGTGTGCGTGTGTGTGTACATACTAGTGGCGGCGGTGCTGCGGCTCGCAGTGCGGCGCGGTGCTGGGCGCGGTCCCGCTCGTCGTCCTCTCGGCTGGGCTGCGGCTCACTGCATGTGTGTGTGTGTGTAGGTACGCGTGTGTGCGTGTGTGTGTACATACTAGTGGCGGCGGTGCTGCGGCTCGCAGTGCGGCGCGGTGCTGGGCGCGGTCCCGCTCGTCGTCCTCTCGGCTGGGCTGCGGCTCACTGCATGTGTGTGTGTGTAGGTACGCGTGTGTGCGTGTGTGTGTACATACTAGTGGCGGCGGTGCTGCGGCTCGCAGTGCGGCGCGGTGCTGGGCGCGGTCCCGCTCGTCGTCCTCTCGGCTGGGCTGCGGCTCACTGCATGTGTGTGTGTGTAGGTACGCGTGTGTGCGTGTGTGTGTACATACTAGTGGCGGCGGTGCTGCGGCTCGCAGTGCGGCGCGGTGCTGGGCGCGGTCCCGCTCGTCCTCCTCTCGGCTGGGCTGCGGCTCACTGCATGTGTGTGTGTGTAGGTACGCGTGTGTGCGTGTGTGTGTACATACTAGTGGCGGCGGTGCTGCGGCTCGCAGTGCGGCGCGGTGCTGGGCGCGGTCCCGCTCGTCGTCCTCTCAGCTGGGCTGCGGCTCACTGTGTGTGTGTGTGTGTGTGTGTGTGTGTATGTGTAAGTGCGCGTGTGTGCGTGTGTGTGTACATACTAGTGGCGGCGGTGCTGCGGCTCGCAGTGCGGCGCGGTGCTGGGCGCGGTCCCGCTCGTCGTCCTCTCGGCTGGGCTGCGGCTCACTGCATGTGTGTGTGTGTGTAGGTACGCGTGTGTGCGTGTGTGTGTACATACTAGTGGCGGCGGTGCTGCGGCTCGCAGTGCGGCGCGGTGCTGGGCGCGGTCACGCTCGTCGTCCTCTCGGCTGGGCTGCGGCTCACTGCATGTGTGTGTGTGTGTGTAGGTACGCGTGTGTGCGTGTGTGTGTACATACTAGTGGCGGCGGTGCTGCGGCTCGCAGTGCGGCGCGGTGCTGGGCGCGGTCCCGCTCGTCGTCCTCTCGGCTGGGCTGCGGCTCACTGCATGTGTGTGTGTGTGTAGGTACGCGTGTGTGCGTGTGTGTGTACATACTAGTGGCGGCGGTGCTGCGGCTCGCAGTGCGGCGCGGTGCTGGGCGCGGTCCCGCTCGTCGTCCTCTCGGCTGGGCTGCGGCTCACTGCATGTGTGTGTGTGTAGGTACGCGTGTGTGCGTGTGTGTGTACATACTAGTGGCGGCGGTGCTGCGGCTCGCAGTGCGGCGCGGTGCTGGGCGCGGTCCCGCTCGTCGTCCTCTCGGCTGGGCTGCGGCTCACTGCATGTGTGTGTGTGTGTAGGTACGCGTGTGTGCGTGTGTGTGTACATACTAGTGGCGGCGGTGCTGCGGCTCGCAGTGCGGCGCGGTGCTGGGCGCGGTCCCGCTCGTCGTCCTCTCGGCTGGGCTGCGGCTCACTGTGTGTGTGTGTGTGTGTAGGTACGCGTGTGTGCGTGTGTGTGTACATACTAGTGGCGGCGGTGCTGCGGCTCGCAGTGCGGCGCGGTGCTGGGCGCGGTCCCGCTCGTCGTCCTCTCGGCTGGGCTGCGGCTCACTGCATGTGTGTGTGTGTGTGTAGGTACGCGTGTGTGCGTGTGTGTGTACATACTAGTAGCGGCGGTGCTGCGGCTCGCAGTGCGGCGCGGTGCTGGGCGCGGTCCCGCTCGTCGTCCTCTCGGCTGGGCTGCGGCTCACTGCATGTGTGTGTGTGTGTAGGTACGCGTGTGTGCGTGTGTGTGTACATACTAGTGGCGGCGGTGCTGCGGCTCGCAGTGCGGCGCGGTGCTGGGCGCGGTCCCGCTCGTCGTCCTCTCGGCTGGGCTGCGGCTCACTGCATGTGTGTGTGTGTGTGTAGGTACGCGTGTGTGCGTGTGTGTGTACATACTAGTGGCGGCGGTGCTGCGGCTCGCAGTGCGGCGCGGTGCTGGGCGCGGTCCCGCTCGTCGTCCTCTCGGCTGGGCTGCGGCTCACTGCATGTGTGTGTGTGTGTGTAGGTACGCGTGTGTGCGTGTGTGTGTACATACTAGTAGCGGCGGTGCTGCGGCTCGCAGTGCGGCGCGGTGCTGGGCGCGGTCCCGCTCGTCGTCCTCTCGGCTGGGCTGCGGCTCACTGCATGTGTGTGTGTGTGTAGGTACGCGTGTGTGCGTGTGTGTGTACATACTAGTGGCGGCGGTACTGCGGCTCGCAGTGCGGCGCGGTGCTGGGCGCGGTCCCGCTCGTCGTCCTCTCGGCTGGGCTGCGGCTCACTGCATGTGTGTGTGTGTGTGTAGGTACGCGTGTGTGCGTGTGTGTGTACATACTAGTGGCGGCGGTGCTGCGGCTCGCAGTGCGGCGCGGTGCTGGGCGCGGTCCCGCTCGTCGTCCTCTCGGCTGGGCTGCGGCTCACTGCATGTGTGTGTGTGTAGGTACGCGTGTGTGCGTGTGTGTGTACATACTAGTGGCGGCGGTGCTGCGGCTCGCAGTGCGGCGCGGTGCTGGGCGCGGTCCCGCTCGTCGTCCTCTCGGCTGGGCTGCGGCTCACTGCATGTGTGTGTGTGTGTGTAGGTACGCGTGTGTGCGTGTGTGTGTACATACTAGTGGCGGCGGTGCTGCGGCTCGCAGTGCGGCGCGGTGCTGGGCGCGGTCCCGCTCGTCGTCCTCTCGGCTGGGCTGCGGCTCACTGCATGTGTGTGTGTGTGTGTAGGTACGCGTGTGTGCGTGTGTGTGTACATACTAGTGGCGGCGGTGCTGCGGCTCGCAGTGCGGCGCGGTGCTGGGCGCGGTCCCGCTCGTCGTCCTCTCGGCTGGGCTGCGGCTCACTGCATGTGTGTGTGTGTGTAGGTACGCGTGTGTGCGTGTGTGTGTACATACTAGTGGCGGCGGTGCTGCGGCTCGCAGTGCGGCGCGGTGCTGGGCGCGGTCCCGCTCGTCGTCCTCTCGGCTGGGCTGCGGCTCACTGCATGTGTGTGTGTGTAGGTACGCGTGTGTGCGTGTGTGTGTACATACTAGTGGCGGCGGTGCTGCGGCTCGCAGTGCGGCGCGGTGCTGGGCGCGGTCCCGCTCGTCGTCCTCTCGGCTGGGCTGCGGCTCACTGCATGTGTGTGTGTGTAGGTACGCGTGTGTGCGTGTGTGTGTACATACTAGTGGCGGCGGTGCTGCGGCTCGCAGTGCGGCGCGGTGCTGGGCGCGGTCCCGCTCGTCGTCCTCTCGGCTGGGCTGCGGCTCACTGCATGTGTGTGTGTGTGTGTAGGTACGCGTGTGTGCGTGTGTGTGTACATACTAGTAGCGGCGGTGCTGCGGCTCGCAGTGCGGCGCGGTGCTGGGCGCGGTCCCGCTCGTCGTCCTCTCGGCTGGGCTGCGGCTCACTGCATGTGTGTGTGTGTGTGTAGGTACGCGTGTGTGCGTGTGTGTGTACATACTAGTGGCGGCGGTGCTGCGGCTCGCAGTGCGGCGCGGTGCTGGGCGCGGTCCCGCTCGTCGTCCTCTCGGCTGGGCTGCGGCTCACTGCATGTGTGTGTGTGTGTGTAGGTACGCGTGTGTGCGTGTGTGTGTACATACTAGTAGCGGCGGTGCTGCGGCTCGCAGTGCGGCGCGGTGCTGGGCGCGGTCCCGCTCGTCGTCCTCTCGGCTGGGCTGCGGCTCACTGCATGTGTGTGTGTGTGTAGGTACGCGTGTGTGCGTGTGTGTGTACATACTAGTGGCGGCGGTGCTGCGGCTCGCAGTGCGGCGCGGTGCTGGGCGCGGTCCCGCTCGTCGTCCTCTCGGCTGGGCTGCGGCTCACTGCATGTGTGTGTGTGTGTAGGTACGCGTGTGTGCGTGTGTGTGTACATACTAGTGGCGGCGGTGCTGCGGCTCGCAGTGCGGCGCGGTGCTGGGCGCGGTCCCGCTCGTCGTCCTCTCGGCTGGGCTGCGGCTCACTGCATGTGTGTGTGTGTGTAGGTACGCGTGTGTGCGTGTGTGTGTACATACTAGTGGCGGCGGTGCTGCGGCTCGCAGTGCGGCGCGGTGCTGGGCGCGGTCCCGCTCGTCCTCCTCTCGGCTGGGCTGCGGCGCGGCGGGCGCGCTCTGCACTCGCTCCAGGTCCACAGCTTCCGCTTCACGCGCCGTCTTGTACTCGATGCGCACGCCCATTGCCGCTATAAAAAATAACTTATTATTTTTATGGGTATGTTTCGATATACACTGCGATCACTGTAAGGTGTGACGTCAATTTTGCATACTGTAAAGCCATTCCCTTTTAGTTTGTTACACAAGTCGCGGCACGTAAGACTAGCACTGAACGAAAAGTGGAGGGGACATCTGCGCATGGGTACTCTCGGACACAAATTGAATTGCACGAAGGCGACTTGAGAGCCAATCAGGGCGTGAGAACGATACGCACGTCCTTCCCGCAACCCGCTTGCTACCCCATGAACGTCATCGGTATTCGTACTGAGCGAACGTATCAGTGCACTCTCGCGTGACCTGCTACTGCTATATTTAGTTATTTTTGGTGTTTTTATTAATATTGTGTTTATTATTAACTCTTGAACTATTTAAACATTATTATGTTGGATGTCCCCATGCAGTGGCGGGTAAGAATACTCACTACCCCATATCTTCCCGTGGGTGTCGTAAGAGGCCACAGAGGGAAACTGAGGCAGAGGATGGGCAGCAGCATCTTTCTGATAACAGCAAAAAAACCAATAAAAAAACTGCGGTTGCCAACCCGCTCGCCAAGCGATAACTATGACACTACTATATGACACTACGACAACTATGACAATATACCCCCCATGATAATAACAAAGAGACGGCCCCCAGTCCCTGGCGGCCCCGCTATTCCTGGCTACGGTGGCGACCATTGTAACGGCGGGGCAGGGTGTGCTAAGAACTCCGGTGGAGATTCGGTTACCACCTACGACGACTCGACCTGGCAACTAATAACGCACGCACCCTGAGGACTGACGAGAAGATCCTGGAGCTGGAGGAAGAGATAGAAAAGTTGCGCTGGAGTATCATAGGATTATCCGAGGTCCGAAGAGAGGGAGAGGACACGATAATCCTCGAATCCGGCAACTTGTTCTATCACCGGGAGGGCGACCATCTGTCCAAAGGAGGTGTCGGATTTATTGTCCACAAGTCTCTCGTTAACAACGTTGTAAAGATTGGGAGTGTGTCGACGAGGGTTGCGTACCTTATACTCAGAATCACCAAACAGTATTCGCTGAAGTTCGTACAGGTTTACACACCAACCTCGGCACACCCCAATGAGAAGGTGGATAAAATGTATGAGGATATTCTCTAGAGCAGGGGTTTTCAAAGTGGGGGGCGCGCCACCCAAGGGGGGCGCAGAGACCAGCAATGGTGGGCGCGGGCCCTCTGCCTAATTAAGAACCTTACGATCAAGAAACGGCTTTATGTACACAGCTACTGCAAGTACTTACTCAACGCACTAATCGCAGCTAGTGGTCGGTTCGAAGTTCCGACGATTCGCTTGTGCGTGCATTCTTCCCCCGCACGCCTTGCTGTCGCGTAAGCACACTTCACAGTCACTCAGACTGTGACTTGTCAATTTATTTCTGTTTCAACGAGATGAACACGACAAAAATCGCAAATACAATGAAGATTATATTAAATACGGTTTTGTTTGCATAAGTAAAAATGGTGGCTATCATCCACAGTGCATTATCTGTTACTAAGTTTTGAGCAATGGTGCTTTGAGACCGACTCGTCTGGAGCAACATTTATTGACTAAACACAGTGATTTGAAGGACAAACCGAAAGAGTTTTATAATGTAAAATCTGGAAGTTTAAAATGCATGAAGTTAGATAGTACTGGTTAATTTGCCGAGTCAAACCAAAAATTACTTGAAGCTGCGAACGAATTATCGTTGCTTATCGATAGGGAAAAAAAGCCTTATTATTGGAGATTGGAGAAACAGTCGTCAAACCGTGTATGCTGCAAGCAGCCGACATCGTTCTTGGACCAGAAAGTAAGAAAAAATTGCAACAAATTCCACTCTAGGTTTTGAGGTTTTTGAGGATTCTGAAACCAAGGGAAAAATATCAAATAATTTGCAGCTCCTTACTGATAAGTTCAACCACTACTTTCCTACCTCGTGTGATGATGATGTTTATCGATTGGCGACCGATCCATTGCTTGTTATAGAATGGATCCTTAACATTCATTGTTATGCGGATGACAGCACTGGTGATGCTCTATACACCGGCCGTGCCAATATTTCTCGGGAAAACGGCGCCGAGTACCGGAACAAACTTGTGTCTGAAGTCGAGTCTTTGCTGAACAAAGTCTCGGATTGGGGGCGACTAAATCTAGTCCAGTTTAATCCTCAGAAGACACAAGTTTGCGCGTTTACCGCTAAAAAGAACCCCTTTGTCGTATCTCCTCAGTTTCAAGGCACTCCCCTTCTTGCCTCAGCCAGTATCGGTATCCTCGGAGTCGACATATTGAGTGACGTGCAGTTTCGTGGTCACTTGGAAGAGAAGGCCAAATTGGCCTCTAAAAAGCTTGGCGTGCTCAGCAGAGCAGGACAGTATTTCATGCCGGCACACCACCTGTAACTTTACAAGGCGCAGGTTCGGCCTCACATGGAATACTGTTCCCATCTCTGGGCAGGGGCTCCCCAGTGCCAGCTCCTTCCACTTGACTGCATCCAACGCAGAGCGGCTCGAATCGTCGACGACCGAGTCCGAGTTAACATAGATGCCCTGCCAGAAACACTTTAAGAGGAAGCCTTGGAAATTAAAAATTGTTCTGCTACTAAATATAATATCGAAAAAATGGGTAAAACAATGATTTGAGTCAAATATTTCTCAATTTATCCCAAAATAGCAAAGAAAGCACTTCGATTGTATTTATCCTTTTCCAGTACATATTTGTGCGAAAGGGGATTTTCTGCTGTTGTAGCAGTAAGAACTAAGTACAGAAATAAACTTATACATAGATAGTGATTTGCGTTTTGCGATTTCTGTGGTCAAGCTGAGAATCAGAAACCTCGTTAAAACCATGCAAGCTCAATCATCACATTCGAATAAATAAGAAGTTGTGTTAAATAATTAAGTAGTTTTTTATATGACTATTATTAACTATAATTAGCATTAAAATCTTATGTTATATACTATAATATATAAATATTTTTTTCTACCCTGATAGTAATCAAAATTATCTTGAGCAGGGGGGCGAGGGTAGTTTTTTTGGTAGAAAGGGGGCGCGTTATGAATAAGTTAGGGAACCCCTGCTCTAGAGCCATGCATTCCTCCAAAACCCACTATACGGTGTTAATGGAAGACTTCAACGCAAAACTAGGCACAAGAGAGAACGGTGAGCTGAATGTAGGGAAATTCGGAAAAGGGCAACGCAACCCAAGGAGCCAGCAGCTGGCCGACTTCATGGTGAAAGAGGGACTCTTTATGATGAACTCTTTCTTCCAGAAGCGGCCCCACAGGAAGTGGATCTGGTCGAGCACAGACGGTTCGACAAAAAATGAGATTGACTTCATTATGACGACCAGACGACAACTGTTCAGTGATGTCTCAGTGATCGCGAGGGTGAAAACCGGCAGCGATCACCGAATGGTGAGAGGCACACTGAACCTAAACGTTAAGAGAGGTCACGTCTTTCAGCTCGAGCTGCGAAACCGTTTTCAGTGCCTAGAAGATTGCAATGCAGTGGACGATATGAACGACAAGCTCGTGGAAACTGTCCATGCGGTCGGAGTTAAGTTATGCAAGACCTACCGCAGAAGAACACAAAACCTCTACGATCACACTCTTAATCTCATAGCTGTTAGACGGGAAATGAAGCTGCAGTCTTCGGTAGATTTGACAGCATACAGGCGACTGAACAGACAAATCTCCAGATGCATGCGGCTGGACTTACGCAACTTTAATACTGAAGAAGCGATCGAGTGGAACCAAGGTTCCAGTCTTTGCCAGAGATCTGTCTGCCGGAAAGAGCCAACTGTCGAAGCTGAAAACCGAGTGTGGCAGCATCGTTTCTGGGACACCTGAGATTTTGAGTGAAATTGAGAGGTTCTATGGGCAGCTGTACACATCATCGTTGGAGCCACACGTAAGTGTGAGTAACGATCCAAGAGCGAGTCTTATCCGACACTATTCCGATGATATCTCGGACGTCAGTCTGAGCGAAATTAGAATGGGTCTCCAGCACCTTAAAAACGGCAAGGCCCCAGGCGAGGATGGAATTACAGCGGAGCTTCTGAAAGCGGGTGGAAAACCGGTACTTGAAGTCCTTCAGAAGCTCTTTAATGCCGTCCTCTATGGTGGCATTACCTCGGAGGCGTGGAGCAGAAGTGCGGTGGTCTTGTTCTTCAAGAAAGGTGACAACGCCCTCTTGAAGAACTACCGACCGATTTTCCTTCTGAGCCGCCTCTACGTGTTGTTTTCGAGGGTCATTACGAATCGTCTCGCGCGCAGACTTGACGACTTCCAGCCTCCCGAACAGACTGGTTTCCGAAAAGGCTTTAGCACCATAGACCACATACATACCCTACAATACAATTTACCACTATGTCTGGCGTATGTGGACTATGAGAAAGCCTTTGATTCCGTCGAAATTTGGGCGGTGCTGCAGTCCCTTCAGCGATACCTAGTTGACTGTCGGTATATCGAAGTGCTGAAGTGCTTGTACAGTAGGGCAATGATGGCTATCCGAGTACAGAACCAGAGTACGAAACCTATCCAATTGCAGAGGTGTAAGACAGGGTGACGTTATATCCCCGGAACTCTTCACCGCTGCATTGGAAGACGTTTTCAAGCTTCGGGACTGGAAAGGATACGGTATTAACATCAATGGCGAGTACATCACTCACCTTCGATTTGCGGACGATATAGTCCTTATGGCAGAATCGCTGGAGGACCTAAGCACTATGCTCAATGACCTTAATAGTGTTTCGGATAGGTCTTAAGATGAACAAAACAAAGATCATGTTTAATGTCCATGTCACACCTATGCCGGTAGTTGTTGGGAGCACTAAGCTCGAAGTTGTTGACGAGTATGTTTATCTGGGACAAATAGTCCGACTAGGTAAGTGCAACTTCGACCTAGAGGTCAATCGACGGATTCAACTTGGCTGGGCAGCGTTCGGGAAATTACGGCACATCTTCTCGTCAG